TATCATACTTATAGGTAACCACGACATGCATAAACAATTACACGGAGCATTTAAAAAAATAAAAATTAACAACACTTTTATAGATTATAAACAAAAAAAATAAAGACACTATTATACTTAGTTACTTAAAGCAACAAAAGAAGAAAGAAAATAAAATATCTATGACTATGTCTGTCTATGAGTAGGTATATGTGTCTTTGATTCACTTAAAAACTAGGACTACGAGTATTATAATGTTATGATCAACTAGCGACTCACCCTTGGTTTACTCTGGTATGCTTTAATGGTTAGGATGGAATAAATACATAGGTATAGAAAAGTAGGTAAGTACTTTAAAAAATAAAAAAAAACCCTCGAAGGGATGATTTCCGGGATACGCGTGAAAATGTAACAGACAGACAGACAGAGTTACTTTCTCATTTATAACATTTGTAATCATATTAATGTTATTGCATCTAATGTTATTGTAGATATCAATCTGCAATGATTTCTTAATGTTTTGTCGAATTACTCCTCATAATTTAAACCTTTATACGACTACGCAGCCAACATAACTATAAAGTTTCTATTTTCAGCATTCATGGACAAAACCAAAGCAAACAACAAGCTAACATGAAAATACATTTGCATACTAACAAATGCACTGTATGTTCAATTTTCATGCAATAACAATACTGAGCTCACCATTGCCAATTACTAAGACAATCAAGGGCTATATTAGTACAAAATGCTAGCTTGTTAGCTTGGCGAGACTCCAACGCATAATTGCTTTTATATCTTATCGGGTATCGCGAACTAAGAGCATGTAATATGCTGATATTCTAGTGCTGACTCGTTAAATACTAAAACCTAATGTGTGGTTTTAAATCTTGTGATAAATCTAGCGGCTCACCCTCGCTTGAATTTGTTCCTAGATACGTTTTAACGGTTAGTATGGAATAGGTATTCGATCTTTTGCTTTGTAAAAAAACAAAAACAAATCTATTCCACGGGCACCGTATATTTTCCGGAATAAAAAGTAACCTATGTGCTATTCCAGACTATAATCTATATCTATGCCAAATTTCATCCTGATTCGTTTAGCCATTCTGGCGCGATTATGTAACAAACATCCATCCATCCAAACTTTCGCTTTTATATATTAGTAAGATAATGGAATAGAATAATGGGATAACACACATTTTTCCCTTACGTAGGAATAGTGATATATTATGTTAGTTCTTGCGACTAGGAAAAACATCTGAGTAATAGGAGTTTATTTTCTAATTATCAAACAAAACTATCCCATTATTATTGACTTAATATGTATAAAAATAAATAAAACAAGGTTTTTTTCATATAATTTTTTTGTTTATTTAATAGTGTTTACTATTTATTGACTGAATCAAGCAAACTAGATCAGTCTCAATTGTATTCTAACTCCTAACACGCCTAAAGTGATCTATAAACATCGATACGAAAAGTATTTTGACTTCATTTTGCCCGTGGTTTTTCCACTAATATTTGCGTTTATTTACTAAGGCAATGGTAGCCCAATAGTAACGCGCTCCCTTGGGAAACCGAGTGAAGCGGGTTCAAATCCCGGGTCACGCACCTCTGATATGTTCATGTGCGAGTCATTTCTAACATGATTACCACTTGCCTTACGGTGAAGGAAACATCGTGAGGAAACCTGCATGTCCGAGAGAACCTAGCAAGTTTTCGAAAGACATGTGAAATCCGCCAACCCGCACTTGGCCAGCGTGGTGGACTCCATAGTCCAGCCTGATCCCCTTCGTACTAAAGGGAGGCCTGTGCCCAGCAGTGAGACATTAAAAAGGGTTGAATACAATCCAAAATTACACACTCTTATGCGCTCACCATTTTTTCATGGATATATCAACGTCAATAAATGATGAGGATCCCATTATTAATCAAATTTGTTTCTATCGTTACAAAATGCGTTTGAACATACTGCCTGACCAAAATTCCAATTCGAAGCCAATTTTGAATACATCTTTAATTATAAGATACACAGATTATTTATTTTTATAATTCGTAACATAAAATGTTGTTACTAATGAACTTGGCTTGAGCACTACCGTGTCCCCAAGTAACATTATAAAATAAAATAAAAGACAGAATTATTGATTGTCATATCGCAATGATACGTTGAATGACGAGTGAATGAGTTGAATTATATGTATGTGAAGATAGATGGGTGTTTCTATACGACTTTCGATAATTATCTAGATCTAGATAGAAAGCTACAACATTATATCTCTTTACAAAACTCTTTATATATCAAATTACTTCGATCCTTTACATTTTTTACATCGCTGTAAAAAAGAGACAATCTAACAAATAAACCTATTTTTTTACTTAATAATTAAATATGGATTTTACTCAGACATTCAAACGCTAATAAAAAGTTATCACACGAAACTCGTGTACCTATGAAGGATAAAAGTGCTGTAAAAGATCAAAACAACACGCCTACAAGCTTAATTACAAATTATTGTGCGGTACGCCATAGCAAGCCCCAATGTTGTCAAAAACTCATCGAGGCATTACATTGGATAGTTTCATACAATAATGTTTCATTGATAATAAAATATATATTAAATTTACAACATTTAGTAAAAAAAAACTTGATGAACTGTTAATATTAAAAGGTAGATTAAAATTAGTGCTTTTATAACAATGTAACGAACGTAAGAATAATACTTACAATTAATATTGATTTGAAACAGGCCCACTGTAAAACGATAGATAATTTGTGAATTTATAAAATAAAAAAGGGTGGCTAATAACCCTGAGTTAAGAACCGAACAATAGCGCTACCTTAATTTCGTTTAAAACTATCTGTAATAATAGATTTTATAAAGACAAAATGTCAATTAGTTTAGGCCCCTAAGAAATGTTAGCACATGGCCCCCAAATTCACGGTACGCCCCTGGGTGCTCTAAATTGTTGGAAGAATCAACAGCCTATTTTTCTAGATGTTTCTACAAAATATAACTTATAAACTTTCAAGCGACCTATGTCTCGGCCTGTCCTGACCTAGTTAACAGTTATTAAATATATAAAAAATACATAACTAACACTTACTGCATAATGCGAGCCATACTTTTACACACGGGTCGTGCCGTGAGTTCGGACAACCTAATTAAAATATTTCGCTCGCTAAAAAGGAAAAGTTAAGTGTCGACTTAATTATTGCTAAAATATTTTAATATTAACGGCATATTTTGCAAATGTAGGATATAAGGATATGTGAAATACTGACTGGAAGAAATTAATCTTACTGATAATATTATAAACGTAAAGGTTTAATGTTTGGATGTTTGTTAATCACGCCATAACGGCTAAATATTTGACACAGAGATAGATTATAGTCTGGAATAACACATAGGCTATTTTTATCCTGGGGAAAAACTACAGTTCCCGTGGGATAGATTTGTTTTTATTTTTCTAGAGGCGAGCGATGAGCCGCTAGTTAAGCTATAAATGATTGTTATTACACAAATATTTACTCTTATATTGGGGTTAAAATAGAATATTTTTGCACTTCTAAAAGAATCATTCGTGTTATGTAGCAAGACAGTACAAAATATGTGAATATACTTTTCTAGTCTCTCACGTGACCATGATTGCTGTAAAGCATTCGAAATGTCTTACAAAAAGAAAAAATCCGGGAAAAAGCCCAAAAGATTTTTTTAGATATAAAGATGGTCATTGATATACGATGTTTTTATATATCAATGTATATGTTGTTTTTTTTTTCATCATATTGAATTCTTTAATCTTTATGTAAGTAAGTATACGTGATTTTTGAAAGGGTTAGAACAAATTTGATAACAACTGCAATAATAACAAATAGGTACTTTTCAATACTAACTAAAAATACATCAAATTCAAAATGACGATTCAATATATTATTGCACCATTTGATCCCATTTTCACCCCCTTAAGTAATGATTTCCGGGATAAAAGTTATCCTATGTCCTTCCCAGGGTCTCAAACTATTTTCTTCCTAAATTTCAACTAAACCAATTCAGTAGTTCCAGAGATTACTTTCTACAAACAAACTCACAAACTTACATACTTTAGCTCTTTATAATATTATTAGAATGATATATAAAAATAACATAAATCCGAATTAAGTTACTTCCCTTTTTTGAAGTCGGTTAAAAATAAAAATAAACATGTAGGCAATTACAATTAGAAATTATTATAGAATAAATTACAACCCATGTAATGGTTTGACCAAAACTTGTACCTTAAAGTGTGAATCACATTCTATTCTCATTTATCTTTGAAGTTCTCATTTATCTGTTTACCTCAAAATTTTACAGACTAACAAACGCATAAGTTTAATATTAAGTTAACATTGTTTATAACTTTAGTTTTAAACTTAATTTTCAGTTAGCACTTAAGTTAATTTGTTCTTTAATTTACTAATTTTTAATTTATCGCGTTTTACAATGTATAGATTAACGACTGCTTTTACGATTGGTAATGACAAGTAATTACGAATCGTAAAAAAACAATTCAGTACTTTACGGTCTCTTAAATTTTTACGAGTTCCCATCTCTCAACAGTGGTCTAGTTTTAGTTGTTATATTGTTGAATATTTCTATATTTTCTCAGTTTTAACATGAATGACTTCTCATTTATTTACTTTATATATAGGAAAAAATTAAAACATTAAATTAGAAGAATTTGAATCACTAACGTCCTTGCTTTGTCCAGCGCGTCTTTTAGTAACTGAAAATCCTAATATCCCATGTATACGGGTTAATATAGGACAAATAAACATACACACTCTCTCATTTATTATATTACTCAGAAATAAAGATTTCTTATTTCAATAATTGAACATACGATAAATTTATTTATATAAACTTTTTAAATAATTTATGTCAAATCTTGAGAAATCCTAGCTGTCAACATTAAAACATTCTTACAAGATTTATTTTATGATTTTATTAAAATAATACAAATGTAACCATCCTTTAATGGACGATAAAGAAAAATTGGAAACGCAGGAGCAGTCTACAGAAGAACAATCTGATACAAGTAATAAAATAATTGAGAAAGCAAAAATAATTCCCCAAGACGATGCTGGACCTTCAGGAGTAACATTACCCGGAGCAATTCCTCAAAGCCCCTTCAACAAAATAAAACCGGGAGTATCGAAATCTGAACATAATATACGACAAATAATCACTAGTAAGGATGTTGCAAACGCTCTTAAACTGACCTCTCTAAGTTTTGGAAATGCGAATAAAACTAATGTTGAAGTAAAAGAACTAAAAATACCAATTTTAGATGAAAATAAGGAGGATGAATCGATAACACTTGTAGAGTTAAAAGAATTCATGACATCATGTTTTAAACTTAACAAAAATATATCTAATATTGTAAACGAAACAACAAATGTCAACGTCCATTCTGCTATAAGCGCAATAACTAATGACTTAGTACAAAATATTCCAAATATCAGTCTAGCAACAAATAAAAGACCTTTGAATGAAGTGGTCGTAACAAATACGGATTCTAAGCAACCAAAGAATTTAGAGAATAACAAAAAAAAGAATTCAGGAAATTTATCAGAAAAATCAGATTTAGGAATGACCCAAAGGGACTCTCTATCAAGTATTGGATCAAACGTTTGCAGAATTTGCATGACAAGGGGAAGAGAAAGGTATACTATTTCTTTAAGTTTACTTCCGATTTCGGTAATTATTTTGTTTTCATAAATCATAAGTCTGTTTTTGAAATTTCATCAAATTATTCAGGGAATATTTTAGATGATAAATATATTTTTTACTTAAAACCAAAAAAGAAATCTGGTATTAGACCCATCTCGTAAACGTTTAAGCCTCAAATAAAATATAATACCTTTTAAAAGAAGATCAAACTGTTCGAAATATATTAGCAAAGCACAGACGTAACGCAATTATCAGGGCCGCTAGGGTACGGAAGCTTCATTAGGGCCTGCCGAATGAGTTTGAAATTGCTTTGGACATTACCGAATTATTATCGACATATTTGCTTCAAAAACTTTTGCGGAAACCATTTTTAAGGTAGTTTCACGATTCGTTAGTGTTTGCGTTACTTTACGATAAACTACATCATAAGTTTGGGCTTGCTTCATATTTGTCTAAAGTATAACTTAACTCTTATTAATTACCATTGTATGTTTAGACACTAAGTATATTATGATAAGTTATGTTTTTCTATTTTTCTCTAAACTCTTTAGGATTAACATGCTTATGTTTTAAGCAAATATTCACTTAGAGCAGAATAAAATCCGAGACTTGAAATATTATTAAATGGAATAAATATTATTTTAGGACTATATTAATTCAAAATGTTTACAAAAAGTCCGTAAATTCACATTATATAATACATGTAATGTTACTAAATTAATTGGGTAATTATAAAATTAGTACTGAAGTTAAAATAAATAATTCATTTTAATTTATTTCTTCTATAGACCAAAATTGCCGAGATGAGAGAGTTAATGGAAAAATTGAATATTCATACAGACTTTTTTACCCATACATCTACGTATTGACCCTCGGAAATGACATTCGTGTGAATCGGTGAAATAGCGCAAGAACAACGTAAAAGGCGAAAGCCTTTAAGACTTTATAAAATACTAGTGGCTTACCCTCGCTTCGCTCGGGTTCGTCCCTAGTGGAAAACAAAAACAAACCTATCCCACGGGAACCGTATATTTTTCCGGAGTAAAATGTAACCTATGTGCTATTCCAAACTATTTTCTATCTTTGTGCCAAATTTCATCCAGCTCGGTTCAACCGTTGTAGCGTGCTTGAGTAACAAACATCCATCCTTCGCATTTATATAGTAGTAAGATTGTTAGTTACATTTTTGTTGTTTCACAATATTATGTCGCTTGCTGAGTAATCTCTATCTTTTTTCTTTATTAATTTATATTTAAACAAAACAGCTCAGTATCTTTTTCTATGATGTTAGTCAATCAAATTTTCTTTTTTTTAGTAGGTATTGACGAGATTTAGTGTACCTAAAACAATAAAAAAAATATTATGGTCGAATGTCGACCACTGGGCGGACACCATTTAGAATAAATGTATGAAAACTTTATTTGGACGTACACTACAATACAATAACATTAAATAACAAAACAAAATATTAAACAAAAATAGCGATGCCTATCAACGAAGACAATGTTGAGACAATCTCGAGGCTTAACGCTGATTTTCGGTGGCTGATTTAAAAAGATCCACAAGTAACAAATGATATTAACAGCTTGGTTATAGAAATAAATAAAAATTCAAGCATTTCTATAATGATGTATAGAAGAAAGTCGAGTCTTTTTATGATACTTATATAGTTCTTAGGTATACAAATTAATTCAAAACATTTACATTATAACAATATTCGAATCGAACATCTACCTCAAATAAATGGACCTAAAACAAAACTATACTACTATATAGTCATAGTCTATATATTATATATCTTACTATTCTAGTTTAATATCATGCGTTAAAATATTGTGATGAAAAGCTCTTCTTTCGATACGAGAAGTATTTCACGCAATGTTATTCTTAGAAGAAACTAGCTTTTAATTCCTTATTAAAATGTTTCTCACGGTAATTTTAGCTTTCAAGTAAAATTTTTCTTGCAAGATCGGAAATTACCTTCCTTTTTAATGTTCCAGATTAATATCGCCTTGCAACTGTAAGGGGTCTTTGGCAAACGTCCATCTTTCGTGCTTGCAGAGGTGGCTTAATCAAGTGGGCAGAAACCACTGTGAACTGTGCGGTTTCAGGTGGGTTAAATATTATATATTTTACTAGATTTATACTGCGGCTTTTTCTGTGTAAGCAACATGTCTATATGAAACACTCGACCGCTATCACGCAGCCACCACGACCTAGTTGTGGTAATCTGTAATTGTAGTAACAATATTATATAAAATACTAACGACTCACCTTCGCTTCGCTCGGGTTCGTCCTTAGCTTGCGTCTCAATACAAACTTTCATTCCCATTTTCACCGCTTAAGGGATGATTTCCGATAATGATTAAATTATTCTATGTCCTTCCCAGGGTCTCAAATTATCTTCTTACTAAATTTCATCTAAATCAGTTCAGTAGATCCAGAGATTACTCCCTACAACGTCAAAAACTCACAAACTTTACCTCTTTATAATATAAGTATAGACTAGTGACTATCCTCGTTACGATTTTGTTTTATATGTTTTTAGCTTTATTTTTTCATACAATGTGCCGAAATCACCTAAAACTTACTTTATCAGAACAAAGGAACCTTGTCATATTTGCCTAAGAGATTTATATCTACCAATGAAAGTATTATTAAAATCGGTTCAGCTATTCCAAATATTAGCGGATAAAAAGGCGGAAATGTAAAATCTTATTTATAGGTCACCGTTTTGTTGTTGTTCTTAATATCGATATGAAGTTTTGAAATTAAAGACACTTTCAATTTTATTTCTTTTAAAGAGTATAGATTTTTGTATGCACTCACTCCCTATTTGAGGAAAGAGAAACCCTACAAATATATAGCTTCGTTCTTCTCAAAAACATGCTCAATCCGCCAACTCGCACTTGGCCAGCGTGGTGGACTTTGACCTGATCCCCCACGTATTGAAATGAGGCCTGTGCACAGTAGTAGGACGTTAAAAAGAGCTGAATACATACATAATATATACATGCCATAGTCCACGCCAAGTGCAGGTTGGCGGACTGCACATGTCTTTCGAAAACTTGCTAGGTTCTCTCAGACATGCAGGTTCCTCATGGTGTTTTCCTTCAACGTTAGGCAAGGGGTAATCATGTTGAAAATGATTCGCACATGAAAATATCAGAGGTGCGATACTCGGGATTTGAACCCACTTCACTTGATTTCCCAAGCAAGCGTGTGACCACTTGACTACCCAATGCATTTAACAAAATTTTACGTTTATCAGTATAAAGAACTTAACATATTACGTTGGTGTAATCAAGTAGGTAGGAACCACTGTAAGCCGTGCGGTTTAAGGTAGCTTATATCAGTTGTATTTTGCTCGATTTAGCTTGCGGCCACCTGCATTAGCAGCTTCCGCTTTAAAATTTACTTGTAAGAATATATTATTTTAGTCACAGCATAGAAATTCTAAATTTCACCTCAGTTTTATTAGTAGATACATAATATGCCTCTAGAGAATTTTTACGTAGGGATTAAAAAAACCTGAAAATAAGTAATAACCTATATCTCTGAAGTTTTTCTTATTAGCGATAGAAACTCAAATTCCTATTACTAGTAATCAAACCACAGATAGGTTACCGTGATTCGAAATATTTGTATCGATGTTTTCAATTGAATTAATCGACTAAAAAGATTAAACCTTGAAAGTTCCTTATAAAAGTAAAATCAGTCAACAAAATCGGTTTAAATATTTTCTAAATTAATAGAGACAGGGAACTAAAGGATAAATTGATTTGAAATCGTTAAGAAACTTAAATTGCTATTATATTTTTATGTTAGATATAAAAAAATTCAATTAAAAATTGAACGAAGTAATACTTACTATTTATTACATAGCAAGCGGTGAGTCCAATGGGATTTCTTATCGAAAATATACGTAAATAGAAGCTGAAATATCAATAAAGTTATCTATACAGATAAATAAAATTGAAGTGTCTGTTTGTAATGTTAAAATAACAGCTTTTTACTAAATGCATATGAATCCATTATTTACGGTACTTTTACGAAAAACGCATTTTTAACATTTTTGTCTCTTGTCTGTCTGTCAGTATGTCTATCTGGCTGTCTGTCTGTTTATTCCTGCTAATGTCCGAATCGGCTGGACATTATAACAATTAACTTAGGCTACTTTAATTTTCGAAAAAGGATTATGATTCCGCTCAAAAAATAAAAGTATATTTTTTCGCGATTTTATTCTTATTTAAATTTCTGGTGTCCAATACTTCGAATGCTTTAAGCAAAATAGGGTGGTTTAGAATGTCAAAAAATTAAATTCAAGAAAACCTAAAAAAATTATAATATTTTAGATTCCATTCACCGCCGTGAGCATGACTGCTGAAAAGCATTCAAATGATCGGGAATGTTTATAGAATTTTTGTCTGTCTGTCTGAGAACACATCACAAAAAACCGCTGGACAGATTTTGATGAATTTTGGTATGATGATAGCTGGTTATCAGGGTCAACATATGGAATACTCTTTACTGCGGGGAAATATATCTGAAAAATAAAATTTAAAAATAAATATTTTCCTACAAAGTCGTAATACTGTGTTACAACTAAAAAAATATAGTGGCATGAACTATGAATAAAATACAAAAGTCAATTCTTTCACTTTATTTATTTATTTATACTTTATTGTACACCACAATTATGAAAAAAATACAGTGAACAAAATATCAAAAAACAAAAACAACAGTTTGACCACTTTCATTCATGTAGTTTATATTTTAGTTAATGAATAATTTCAATAAAGTCACGCAAAAGCAAAGATTATTCGCAATGAATGTTCCAGTTTTAGAGGAACTCATTTACTATATTATTGGAAAATTTAATAAACCAATCCGATTAGCAGGCTCGGTAATTAAACGGCGGAATGACTACCGAATTTATCTTCATTGCACAAAATGTGCATTGAATGGCACAAATAATTGAATACCATGCAATGAATGCAAATAATACGGAGCAAATAAAACTAAGGGTGCCGTAGACGAGTGTTTTTCCAAGTATTAACGAATTCTCTTATATAGATTAACCATTGTATGTGTATGATTTTTTTTTTATAGAGTTTCGGTATTAAATTGTTTTTGATAGAGTTCACGAAACTGTTTTTTTTTTTATTTCTTAGAAGACTTTTTTAATTGAATTTTGACTTTTTTAAATTGAATTTGACTGTATTCGGATACGTTTTTAGTGCTATCAGATTAAAATTACAGGCTAGTATAGTATTATTTATGATCTGTGTTACAGGTATAAAAATATTTAGGCATTACAACTTTAAATATTTTTTTTATGTTCACGTACTCGCATGAGGCAATCACTTTTCATTTCCTTTTTTTACCATCTAGTATCACATATTAAATTAGTGTAAGGCTCAATTTTTCATACGGTTTATCCATAATTATTAATAATTAATTTAGTATCCCGTCTGTGTCGCCGTGAATGCTTTTAAAACGAATCTCGCCAGTAATATTTCATTAGTAAAACTTATTTAATGGCCCCAATCGTAACAGTTGTTCGTAGATAACGGTTCGCTTGTTCCAAATTTGAAGGTCGGATTTTCCAAGAATTGTTTTATTTTTCTCATAAATATTCATATGGACTTTTTAATAAATATATTGTATTTTTAAGGCTTTAGGGAGTAAAGTTAATTTATAATTTTAATGAATGGAGCGGTTAAATAAATTAACAAATAAAACTAAAACTAACTGCAGCTCTAAGTACTACAAAAAAATATTATTTAATAAAACATCTACTGACACTGATTGATACACATGAATCGAGTTCAATTTTAAAATATTATTTCAATTTGAACGACCATCCGAACAAAACAAAAAAAACTTACAAACAATTGTTCTTAGAAAGAGAAATAAGATAGTAAACCGATAGTCATTAAGTAGAAAAATCTGCAGTCCATTGGAACGGACGTCTCGGCGAGTCAGATAAATCACATCAACTAATTGCGGGGAAATCGAACTGATTACGGTTGAGCCGAGACTCCATCGTGCAAGTTCGAGTATCCGAGAGGCCGGGTTAAGGGCTGCTACGATTTTTTTTCTGTTTTCATGTAATTTGTGGTTGTAATTGCATTCAATTCAATTCTCTTCTTGATTGATACAAAACGTGCCAGTTTCAATTGCATTAATAAGTTGTCATACTAATTTTAACAGCCCTTACATTTGATCCTTTGGAATTAAAAAAAAATTCTAGACTACCCACAAAATCACAAAATTGTATTTTGTGGGTAGTTCGTAGTATTAAAATGTGTAATATTCTAATGTAATTAGACATTACATTCAAATATACACTTGTTGTTCTCTCATAACTTTACTGTAAATAATTATTATGGTTCCTTCATGTTGGTAATCCATGGTTGGTTCATGTTAGCGGTCCTCAATAGTGAATCGATTTTCTTCTTTTTTTAATGGATAGGTATTTTTGTTTGTTAAGTCTCTCTTTGCTAGGAAACTTATTTCTAAAGATCCCTGTTGCTCTATTAGAAAAAGTTAGTACTAACAACCCTTAAAAATAAAATATCGACAGACGTTTTAATTCAGCTCTCAAGCATCCTCCGATTTTCCTCGGTCTGTTTACTATTGAAGTCATTTGCTATTTGCGACTAGATTTTAACGTTTCCCAACGTTAAATGCATTTTATTCAATCACTTAACCTTTAAATTCATGAAAATTGTCCTCATTACTACATAATAATTCATCCGTTGCACTGAGTTTGATTGTTCGGACTAATCTTAGAAATTACTGTACAGATTTTCATACGGTTTTAATCAATAGATAGAGTATTTATTTATGAAGACTGCAGACTAATTTTTTATGAACATTTTGCGAAAGTAAGCTACCGACATGATAGTATCATAAATGTGTAAAAAAAGAGTATCTAGCGTCACTAATATAGTATACAGCCATTATACCAAATTAATAATTCAGAATTGATAAGGTAATTTTTCATATGAAGCAATACATTAAAAAAATATGTCTAAAAGAAAAGAGCGAGTGAAATCACTCCTTAATTTAATTCTCCTTCTCTAAATATTATAGTAAAACTAGCATTGCCCACGGCTCCGCCCGCGTTCAGATGACCAAAAACCAAATTCTTAGGTTGTACATATTAGTATACTCTTAAATTGTAGTTTTTGTATTTTTTCTCAGAAATGAGACATTTTCCCGCGGTAAAAAGTATCCTATATGTTGACCCGGATAACCAGCTATTGCCATACCGAATTTCATCAAAATCCCTCTAGTAGTTTTTCTGTGATACGGTAACAGACAGACAGACAGAAATATATTTTAATGTACAGATTCGGCTTAGTTACAATTTTATTATATGTATAGATATGGTTGACAATCGACAATACAATTTTTATAGAGGTAGTTGATGAATTGGAAAATAATATACTTTTTATCTGGGTATTATTTTAAGTGGCTAAATAAGGTTGTGACAAAAACCTCCTTAAAAGTCACTAATTGTTTTTATTTTTATAATATTTTTTTAGCCATAGGTATTATGCGGAAATTATCTGCCAATATAGCCAAGGGGTAACTGACAAACATGTCTCGCATACTTTTAAGTTTAAAGGTAGAAAATACTTGGATGAAATTTAAAGATACAATGGTATAGGTACGAATAGAAAATACGCACAATTTAATATTGTATTTTCAGTTATCCAGCCATCCGTACGCCTCGTTACACAATACTTCAAGCGCTGCGGCTGTGGTTCTGCAATCCACGAAATAGGAGTCATCTACAGGTGAATATTATGCTACTATACCCACACTTTGGTGGCTTAGTGGATATTTTTAATATTTTACTACATATTATAAAATAAAATCCCCTCGACGTGTCTATCTGTTTGTCTGTCTGAACGCGATAAACTCAAAAACTACAAAACAGATTTTCCTACGGTTTTCACCAATAGACGGAGTGATTCACGAGGAAACCTTCTTGGTGTATAATTCGCTAAAATTTAGTGTGAATTGGCTAAAATATGACGATGATTATTGAAGATATCGTAAAAAATCCAGTCGACTGGGAATTTTACTGGTGTTATTCGGCTATTCCTCTTAAAAAGATCTATTAAACTGTAGCAACGCTATATGTACGTATCTAGGGACGCACCCGAGCAAGGCCAGAGTAAGTCATTAGTTTTTTTTAAATAAAAAACGTTAGTTAAAGAGTTAAGGGTTGGGGGAAGGATCATGCGGTCACTGGTTTGATTCTGGGTAAAAAAAAATGTTTCTCAAAAGTTTTACTTTAGGTACCCAACAATTAACGCACGCACGCTTCGGTGGGCGGTGTACTATGCGGGTTACTCCTGGTACTTCTCTGATAGCAGAGTGGACCGTGGGAGCAAACCCCATGGTTGTTGGGGTCTACTTCGGTAGACTTGCCGTCGGGGCGTCGTGCTTGTATGCGCAAGCGATCCTGCGACGCCCCATTAAGACGGGCGAGGTTTTGTTGGGTTTTAATGGGTATTACTGGCTTTTCTAGACGGTGAGTCCCAAATATGTATCCGTAAATGCATTTCAACTCAAGCTCAGTGGTCTTTCTATTATGACGGTAGTTGTTTTTTTTTTTTATCATTATAATAATTGTTTTCTTATGTAATGTAGTGCATGTCCAAGTATAGTTTTCATTTATTTATTCATTTTGACCACATTTAAATACATAATATGCCAAAACTGTACGACTTCTAGGTATATTAAAAAATGTTGAAAATATTTAAAACTATTGTTTATTTAACAAATTTTTTTTATTAAACCAATGCGACATCAAACATTTTTTTTAACTTTATAAACTTGCCATTAATGACGCACCTTATTAAAATAAACAAAAAACCATACAGCCTTTGAATATTTATTTTATTAATTATAATATCGAATAAACATGGCCACCGCACTAATGCACAGGTACATTGACATTATTTAAAAAGCCAGAATCCCTCTCTTTTTTCGTAATTTTTATAAAAAATAAAAACCTGAAGTAGAGTAACAAGCCACTCTTGATCCTCATAATGTGTATTCATAAATGTTTTTTCACATTTACAAAATGGATATGTCACATTTAATACGAGTACATTTTATACTGTAATGTAAGTATGGAATATTTTATCTACATCCGTCTAAGAGATCCTTAGAGAGCTTAAAAAAATATAATACATATTTTATAGTACTCGCTTATTAAGTAAAAAGGCTTTATAATTTAACTAAAATTATTCAAATAAACTATAAACAATCATCGAAATAAGAAATTCTTGTATTGAACGCACAAATATTTGTTAATCGCATCAGATAAAGCTCGACATTGAAAACCACCACCTAGGATTGTCTTGACATTTCATACTAGTATCCTCTAAAAATCCCTATTACGTATTGCCTCCATGTCTTTAAGGTGGTTGTAATGGTATAATTAAAAATCAATTATCTATATTATAAAAATGATATGCTGTTCGTTTTTAAACTCATTACTTTAAAATGGCTGAACTAATTTGGCTAATGTTTATTCAAAATATTCGTAATATTTAATAGATTTTACGGGAAAAGAATTGGAAAGTTGCTCGGAAAATTAGGAAAATGAGAAGAAACTTTTTCAATACAATTTTTATATGATCTCAAAATCTATATATGTATAAAAATCAATTGCCATTCGTTAATCTCGTTAAAACACAAAAACGGCTGGACCGTTTTGAATAATTCTTTTTTTTGTTGAGGGTGTGCCAGAGGTGGTTTAAGTATAAAAAAATAGGGGAAACTCAAAAAAAAGCTAAAAAATCGAAAAGTTTAGAACCGTATATATTATAGTCTATCTATTCCATAGTAACCGTTGAGACGTACCTAGGGATGTACCCGAGCGAAGCAAGGGTGAGTCGCTAGTCATAAATAAAATTGAATTTGAGGCAGGAAATTTTCTGTAGGGTCATCTGACGATATAATATAATATCATTAATATACATATTCTATTTAAAGCTAAAGCCTTGTCACATACATTCCAGACCATTTTACTCGGTGCCATTTGCGACCGCCCGCACCCGCCCATCCGGCAATACGTCTTCGAATTTTTGTTCGCACTCCCAAATTTTTTGCAACAATATTTTCAAACGCTCCGATCGGTCCTTCGCTTTTAAAAGCCCATTTGCGTCGTAACAGCTTGTTTATGACTTAAAGGTTCGACGTCACAATTTGGATGAATAGAAAACAGTATTATGATGAATATATCCAATAGTAACTAGCAAGTGCCTACGTCTTTACTCGCCCGTATTGATAGATAAGATATCTATTTAGTCTACAAACACTAAACAATTAGTATGAAAGCGCGTTTTAGAGCACAAGCTGTCTTTGGATCTTCCCAGACTATCATCTAATTAATCAGTTAATGTCCCAGCATATTTATTTATTTATAAATAATTTCGCCCAAATCTAATGAGTAATGCGCGTTATGAAATAAAAAACTTATTTTCTTCTTTACTTATTCTTTACTTAAACTTTATAAATACATACCATAGTATAAACTATCGTAATTATAATATTTATGTAATTATTATCTCATTTACCTAACATGGAATTGTGTAAAACATAATTACTACACGTACTTCAGCTTCAGTGGAAAGGAAAAAAAAATAAAAAAAAGATTTTGAAAAAGGTTTAAAAGGAAAAATCTATTTTATAAGTGTTTAATACATACATACACGACCTTAAATAAGTTATTTATTATAAAGTTTCATGTAGATAAAGATATCGTTTTTAAGCTTTTCCAATAAAATAATTTATTTTAAAGCATTTTTGCTCTTGTCTTATTAGAATATACCTCTGTGTTTTATTTTGCTTTTAATTATATTTATATTTAAATACAACGAACCCGAAAATTATTATTATTTATGTAAAATATATCATTCACATATTATTTACCTAGACCAATGTTCGTAAACCGTAGGTTAAATGTTAAATGAACTCAACGACGTTAAATAGACTATTTTTCACGCATACACTACGCGTACATGTTCCCGTTAGGAATTTCATTACGAATTGACAAGCGCATATTGCTTTTGTGCCTTTATAGGCGCACGTCTTTTCAATAGGCATTTTCCCGCGACTTCATTCAAATTCTATATAAATGAAGCTCCGAGTGTAATCCCGCAATGAAAAAGTATAATTAAGTAGGTTTTTCACCACGCCAGCTAATAAATTTGTAATGAATTGGGTTTTATGTCATAACTCGTACTATTCATCTCGTATAACACTACAGTTGCCGCAATAAAAAGAATTTTATAATCAAAGCGTTATAACAAGGTTCACTTACATTACAACTTGACACAAATTTTTATACTCTTGATATAGGTGAATATAATGTTTCTCAGCAATAATTAATTTTTAAAACAATAACTTAAAATACATATAAGATTTAATAACGATATAATGAAATATTAATTTAAAATTAAAAGAAGATAAATCACAAAATACCACTTCTCAGCCCGACCATATTTTATGACCACAAGAGGGCGCTGTCACCCGCCAACCGCGCGTTAAAGATGGCGGCTGACATCTCGTGACAAGACATGGGCATATTGAATTTCTGTATCGCTTTTGCCACATATTGAATTACCGTTGCTCTAAAATGTACTGAACGTTAATTTGTCTTACATTTACGTAAACAACGTTGACTTGAAGCATACGAAATTTTGCTATTTTGAATATTTTGGGTAACATTGAATACAATTATTAAGCTGAATATAAAATATTTTTTCATACTTTTATGCTCAGAACCCGCAAAAATGCTAAAGTCAAAAATAGTAGCGTGATTTACTGTTTAAGCTACCTACTATTTTTGATTTTGCCATATAAGTTGTTTACTTTTTTTTAAAGAATAATGGAAATTTTATGGAATACATAATATGTATTGATTAATTTTTAGGAATAAAATCTATACATATAATAAAATTCTAACTAAGCCGCATCTGTACATTGAATATTTTTTGGAAAATCTTATTAAAATAGACATTATTTTCGATACACAGGCCGAATCTATAGTTTTTAGAATTTTTGTCTGTCTGTCTGTCTGTCTGTTACCGCATCACGGAAAAACCACTAGAGGGATTTTGATGAAATTTGGTATGGTGATAGCTGGTTATCCGGATCAACATATAGAGTACTTTTTACCGCAAGAAAATATGTAATATCTGAGAAAAAATACAAAAACTGGTTAGAATAAAACCACGATGATACTATATATATTTTAGCAAGGTAACTTACTAAATACGGCAAAAACTATTAAAAATAGCTTATCTTGAAAAAAAAATAACTTGGTTTTTGGTCATCTGAACGCGGGCGGAGCCGCGGGCAATGCTAGTAAAATAATAAAAATGATACTAATTATATTCTTTTATATTTTTTCTCTTCCCATTGAAAGAGAGACGGCATAATATAGTATATTATATATCTTATTTAATTTTTTTTCTATATTATTATAATAAAATCTATTACCTATTTTTATTTATTAATATTTATTTACTTATCACTCAGTATACAAATTGTCATGTATATACTACTAGCATTGCCCGCGGCTTCGCCCGCGTTCAGATGACCAAAAACCAAATTCTTAGGTTTTACATATTAGTATACTCTTACAATTGAGTTTTTGTTTTTTTTTCTCAGAAATGAGATGTTTCCCCGCGGTAAAAAGTATACTATATGTTGACCCGGATAACCAGTTATCATCATAGCAAATTTCATCAAAATCTGTCCAGTGCTTTTCTCG